TAAAGGGGATATGAGCTATAGTCTAAACTCCTTAAAGGGGGTTATATAGGGGATTATATAGGGGACTACTACAGGGGTTATTAAGGGGGATACTAGGAGTTTAGACTATAGCTCATATAGGGATCTAGGGTTTAGGCTGTCCCAAAATTAGGGGTACCTTTAAAGGGGGGATATAGGGTCTTTATGGGGGTTATATAGGGCTATAGAGGTGAGGGTTTCCCAAAATTAGGGGTACTTCTTGGGGGGTCCCCTTATCTAGGGAAAGTACTACGTTGTTGACGGCGGGACTCCGACGGTCTTTAGTCTTTTCTGGCCAGAAACGGGTGCCTTCAGGCTGCCAGAAGCGAGCTGCACATGCTCAAGAGTCAGGCAGGGAGACTCATAGTCCCCGTTCAGTAGATGAAATATTGGGGGTATATTGGGACATTATTAGAATATACCCAAAGCCATATTCTATCTACTTAAGGGGGACTGCGGAGCAGCTTGCACAAGTGCTGGTGTCTGCTGATGTTGGGCCTTGGTCAGCTGAGTGGTGGCTCGATTGAAAAGCCAAGACCTCCCTTTCACGTGTCTACAGGATGCAACACAGCTTACCCAACCATCGTACAGCGAAAAAGTCAGCAGACAAAATCTCCGGCAAACGGCTTTTCTGAATCCAGGCAAGGCGACAACAACCTAAGCTTTCTGAAGGTCAGGTTGGCAATGCTTTCAGCTGTGGCACCCATTGCCCGCTTGCGGTGCAGCTGGTATGCTTGCGCAGGGAGGCCGGATTTCAGGCACACTATTCTGTGAGCTGTGTGGTGAGTCTGCGTCCACGGCAGGCTGCAGCAGCGGTTTTTTGCAAGGGAGCCACAAGATGGATCTCAAGGTTCTCCAGACTGACATGATTTTTCAGTCATTCTGGAAGTACAACTCCCTGGTGCTTAGTGCAGGGAGGTCGGGTTATCGAGCAGCGTCAACACTGGGGGACCCAGTTCAACAGCATCTACCTTAATAAATGTCATGCACAAGCAATTCTTGCAGTTGTGCTGTTTCTACAGCATCCACAGGGTTTCAGCGCATGACGCTGTATGTTGCATGCTCTGTGTTACTCCCGGAAGTACTAGATATGAGACATGCCCACATCCGTGCAGTTCTTTGCAATTCATCATGCCATGTTGGGTCATGTGTAAAACCAGCGTCTACACGGGGAATCATACGAAACTTGAATGCTGTGATTTTGTTCTCAAACCGCAGCGTCCGCAGCGGAACGGGAAAATCCACCCTTATGTCGGGTTGCCCCGGAACTAGTGTCTACATGTGGATTACCATTTTCTGATGTGTAAATATCCCACTGATGTGAAATCTGCACAATGCCAGCATCCGCAGTAGATGAAGTGTGTTCTCAACAAGTTATGTGTTTTAATCCCGGCGCTAGTTGTAGAGGGCATCGTGCTGTAGAGGGAATACTGTAGAGATCCATTTCCCCATTCCCGACTAAGTACCAGAGAGACCAAGCCGGGGTTGCTGTTATGGAAGTTAAATCTATGCTGCCATAATGTGTATATATAGTAAATAAAGGGTTCCCCATTACAGTAGCTTGAATTAAGTTCCTGAACAGCAGCCCTGAAGAAGGGTTTAGCGGCAGTGTAGGCAGGGGCCTGGCCTGGCCTTGTTTTTACAACCAGTCTATCAGGGGTTTGTAAGATTCAGGGAGTCAAGGCAACCTTCAGCCCTAATAGGGTTTAGGGTTTAGAGAAAGCAGTTTCTGACAAGGTTTCAAGCCCTTCTACCAGCAAGTGCAGGAGTTCAAGGCAGATGACAGCAGGCGGCTGTTGCAGTTGATTCACATGTGTGTTCCTGGCACCTATGCTCTACATCTGGTAGGTTTTTTGATCAGCTGATTTTACAGTAATGCCAGGATGCATGATGGCTGGGCCTGGATTGGTTTTTTAGAGCACAAGCTGGAGAAGACCAAGAAGAAAGGTACGAAGACCCGAAGGCCGAAGCTTTGTTCTCAGATGAGCTATAGTCTAAACTCCTTAAAGGGGGGTTAGATAGGGGATTACATAGGGGAGTGCTGTAGGGTTATTAAGGGGGATGCTAGGAGTTTACACTAATGGCTTTGGATCAGCCCCATTTACGTGTCCTGCTGCACAGGAAGCTGCGATATCCGAACGATCCTGAAGGGCACGCAAAGAAGGCGCAGCAGCAAAAGTACTGGGAAGACGTCAAGGTCCAGCAGCGTCATGCGGCTGCAAATGTTGGCCTCAAACAGGTTGTGAATGCTGCATGTGTTTTCGGAGGCCACGTGATGCTGCTCATCCGGAACCTTCACCTGCGCACATGCCGTTTTCATCGACTTGGTACAGCTTGCTGGCAAAGCATGAGGCACAGGTGCCACAGGACATTTGCCTTCTGTATGCCTTAGTGCTGGACAGCTCCAAAGACCTGAAGATCCTGCTGACCGGTCGAGTAGCACCTGCAGTGTGTGAGCTTCTGCCAAGACGATCACAGACCCGCAGCCAAAAAAAGGTTTTGCCGCGGAGCATGTGTGATTTGTACTTGTAAGATACTGTAAGGCTTTTCTTTTGATAGCCATTTCCATGAAGCGCTTCCACGCTTGGATGGAGCTGTCCCTTCACGGACACGCATTGCTCTGACCCCAGTCAGGTTGCACCGCTTCGTGATGAACATGTTGAGGTCCGTTGCTCCACGTACAGAACAGTGTATAGATGCTGGCAAAGATGTTCATAGTTCATCGATACAATCCGCAGAGATTCTCTGGAGAGAGCCCCCATATTCTTTCAGGTTCCCCCTATGTTGAGAAATCCCCTCTGTGGGGGCTTAGCAATGGAGAGGCTGTGGAGATGCTGGGAGAGGCGAGAAGGTCTTTGCGCTCCGAGCAGGAGTCCGTGTAAGGTTGATTGTTGCAGTGTCCATTGAGAGCCCGGTACTCGTGATTGCCTAAGTTGAGACTGCTAGTGAAGGCGAGGGTCTAGGAACTGCAGCATGCCAGCGGCTGAACGTGTCTTCCAGGAGGAGAGAGCCTCTGGCACGCAAGCCGGCAACTAAGCTGTATTGCTTCCCAGCAGGGCAGTGCTTAGGAAGTGCTAGCAGAAGTGAGGTACTCGCACAATCCTTCCAAGCATGATAGTGATAGTGGGATGTACAGTCCCCAATATACCATAGTAGCTTCCATTTTCTTTTCCATTATTCCCTAAACCCCAAACTCTAAACCACTAAACCCCACGCTTTCTCTTGGGCAATCTGTGAGTGCGCCGAGTGGACATTGCTCAGGTTGCAGCTCTGGAGCAGCGTCTGGCCGAGGTCCAGATTTCAGGGTTTACGGTTTAGGGCTTAGGGTGAGCTACAGTCTCAACTTTTTCAAGGGGTTATATGGGGTTTAGCGTTTAGGGTCGGAACTCCTTAAAGGAGTTCTTTAGGAGATCATATAGGGGATTATTATAGAGGTGATTAGGGGGGATACTAGGAGTCTAGACAATAGCTCATGTACCCCCCCAGAAATGACCCCTTTACCACATTCGGGAAACTTGGGGTGTATAAGGGTAAGTCCTAGATTACTGTCACCACACAATTCCAACATAAACCCTACATGAGCTACGGACTAAATTTAGGTTGGGAGGGACCTTCCGGGGACTATATAGGGTTTTGGGGGGCACCTATTAAGGACATATCACAAATTTAGTCCAGAGCTCACATAACCCCGTGGCTATTAGAAGTCAGGCGCACCGCGAACACGAACGTGCTGAGCAAAGACACGGGGACGTCGCAGCGCCGTGGCCTCGCACTTTCCATTTTCTTTTGCATTTGTCTAGGGTTTAGGGTTTAGGGTTTAGGGTTTAGGGTGTTTATACAGAGATTATATGAAAAACTGGACACTGTGGGGATTTTTATCCCTTCATAAATTTACTGTCAAGGGATGTGATCCTCAATAATGGAGAATCACGTGGAAAAGAAGATGGAACATTAAATGGAAGCTGGGTTACTAAATACCCCCTACATAACTCCAATATAACCACTAATATTCAAGCGTAAGTACCGCGCGAGTATGCAAAACAGACCTCTTGGGTTTATCTGCCGTGCTGCTTCAGCAACTGATGGCCATTTTATGGGGTTAATTTGATGGATTCCTCTCTGGGGGTCCCTGAGGTCACTGTAAGAAGGCCCTATAAGAAGGTCCCTACAAAAAAGCCCGGATAATACGGGTTAAAGTATTCTGTAAAAAACAACCCAGAATGAATTTCCTTTCAGGTCCTTTTCTACTGGGAGTTAGTAGGAAACAAGGGAATAGATTATCTAGAGATTCTTCCCTACTAGCCCGTGGTACGTTTGTTTCCTGTCAAGGTCACACATGGGCACTGTTAAGGTTAAGGTGCCAGGCCTCACTACCAACGGGCTCCAAGGCATGACGTAGATGCAATCTTTTGTAGAAACCCCCCCTAGTCGAACTCAAAAGGTAATGGTGCTGACCGCTTTGAGGTTTTTCAAAGTCCAGCTGCGGGACCTGCATGAAGAGTTGCAGACACGTGCGGAGGACGCAGACCTGTTGATTCTGTCGCCTGAACATGAGCTTCTGATGTGAGCAGGACTTGAGGGAACGCGATGCTGTTGTACTGCGGCGGGAGCAGGCAATGCCACTGCTGCAAAGCTCCTGAACAAGCCAAGACGAGTCAATATCAGATTCTTTACAACGCCGTAGGAATTGGAGGAGGTCAGTGGTCAGCTCAAAGACTTGCAGGCACAGTTCTGCTCACGCTTGCCTTGAACTCCCGAAGTCCCGCGAGAAATGTGTGTGTGACAGGGCCTGTTTGATGAAGTCAATGGGCAGCTTCAGCATGAGCGCAAGTCTCGGAAGGATTGGATTCCGAAAGTAGTGCCAGAGCTTCGTGGATCTGTGTTAGCAAAGCGTCAATGCAACACGCTGAGATGCGGTCGTATAGAGCGGCTGCAAGGTGTTTGAAGCTCAATTGCCATTGGATAGATGTTTGGTTCGCTTGGTATGATGTTTGCTTTTTACCCATCCTCAGGCTGTCACACAGTGTGCGAAGCAAGCCAAAGAGCTGGACTCTTTGCAGAACATGCTGGAGGTTTCTGAGCTGCTTTGATACATCGAGATACCGTTTTCCTTGCTTCTGCAGTCTGAACAGGAGTCCCACCGCATGCTCGCACAGCTCCGAGAAACACTTGAGAAGGCATGTCTGTGCAACGGTCCTTGCAGGCTAACTTCTCACATTTTCCAGCCCCGTTGCACAGGAACGCGCTGAACGTGTGAGGGTGGCCTCACTTCTTGAGCAGGAGCAGCACAGGACGGCCCATCTAGCACAATATCCCCGTTTCGCGTTATTCCAGACCCAGGCCTCAAGGCCTCAAACCTGGAACCCAAAAGCCTTCAGTCCATGGCCTGACTCAGGCTTGACCTAGCACCACCATAACTTTTAAGAAGTGTCTTATTGCTCAGGACACAACTCCTGCTCGACGTTCTCAAGCATTTCAAGGCTTGATACAGCAGTTGTCTCATCCGGTATTTGCTGACTGCCATGGAAAGACATGTCCAGGAGAAGCTGCAAGGACTGACTCCGCAAATGCTGCTAAGCCGGGCCATTGCAGCTTTCGGAGACTTGACCTGGCTGTTCACTTTTTTGCTGTTTGGCTGAGGTCGGTTGGGTGTGAGTGATCCAAAGGCAGCAGTGCACAGAATTCAATGTTGCTGTTGAAGAATGGCATTGACGTGGCGTTTTGGAAAGGTGCTGTTGTCCAGCCCGGTGTCTACCGCTAAGTTTTGACAGGGGGCCCATCCCAGAGAAGGACATGAACTCTGCATAAAAGTTGAGGCTGAACAAGCTGACTGGCGAAGCTTCACCTGGTCTCGTTCCTCCTGGTCCCTCGGGCCCCTTGGGCCTGGAGAGCTTCGACTCGCTCGGGCTCAAAGGCTCTTTGCGGACAGGGTTAGGTTCCCCATGGAGCCGGAGCCTCTGAAGAGCTGCACTTTTCAATGCACCTTTGTGCTGTGCTTCCCAAAGGCTCTGCCCGAGGTCTGGCTGGGCATGGACTTGTGCATGTCTCAGATGCGACTGAACCAAAGAGATTTTTGGGCAAATACGCGCAATCTACAAGTGGGCCATCTGGGGCCACTGCATGCCACTGCCAAGGCAGATTCACCGTGGCGAGCTCCGACTGCAGCTTTTGAGGCAAGGACTGGTATCATCGTTTCATGGCTGCTTGAAGCTGCAGCAAGCTGTCCAATGTCATGTGATCGCCAGCTCCAGAAGACTTGGTCAGGAATGTTTGCGTGCTTCTTGTTTGCTTTGGAGACATGGGTGTTCCCCTACATGAGGGCACCCCAATATAGACCCCCAAATACAGAATCCTTGTTATGGGTGCCCCCAAAATGGTACCCCTAATGACTCTAAATAGTAGTTTCCATAATATGCTTTTCCATTATCCTCACATAACCCCCTAAATCCCCGTTTAAAGGTACCCCCAGGCTTGGGAAACCCCACATGCGACACGGCAAACCGATTTCACTAATCCAGGCACCGCCAGAACCTTGCGTACCGCCGTTATCGGAGTGGGCCGCTCAGCAGCTGCCCTCGCAAGGGGTTATATAGGGATACTATAGGGATAATGGAAAAGAAAATGCAAACTACACATGAGGTTATGGGATATAAATTGGGGTTATAATGGAAAATAAAATGGAAACTATTATAATGGGGTTATAGACCCCTTACAGGGTTTATATTGGGGTAATATTGGAATAATGGACAAGAGAATGGAAACTACTGCAATTTCTGCTTAGGCTTTCATAGCTGCATTACCGAGGCGCTAGCACCTTTGTTTCACCGCATATCGCAGCCGCCGAGTATGCACTGTACATTACAACCTCGGTGATGCCGTGGTCTGTCTGCACTTCAGCGGGCAGCTGGCAAATGCTCAAATTCGACCAGCACATGCATAATTTGCCTTGGAATGCTTCTGTGCAACTTGGCTTGATCAGGCAAGCGTCCTCGAGCAAACATGTATTCACAAAGTTGCGCAGAGGCAGTCCGGCAGTGCAGGAGGTCAGCATCTCATCGCATTGAGTCTGCATGCGCTTTGAAGTCTGTGCATGGCACCGGGTTGAAGCGTAATCGGGTTGGCGAGGGCAGTGCAGCAAGTAGGGTCTAGGTGTTCGCATGTTTACTGGATTGCCTACAGTAGGACTGGGATGAAGCTCGAGCTCTCTGGGCGAAGAATCAGGACTTGTCTCCACACCCCTGTCTCTGGATGTGACCGCCGACACCTTGATATGTCAAGCTGACTGGCTACCCGCGAAGAGACATGGAAGCAGTCTTGGAGCTCCTTTGTTCTCAAGCTTACTGACATGCATACGCTGGCATACAACCGTGCAACTTCTTGCTCAAGCTTAAACGTCATGAATAACCCAAAAGCAAGCTGCGAACAAGTCCGAATCATGCGTTCTACTCTTGTTCGTTTCCTTCTGCGCCTGCGGGCGTGAGGAATATCGTCAATGTTGCGCGGCCCTCAGTGCCACTGCCAACACCAATCAAAGTGGTTTTGCGAAGGCGGTGCATGGTGCAGTTTCAACTAGTTGCCAACCCATGCCTGTGCTAAGCAAATGGTTGACCGGAGACCGCGATAAAGGCAACCGCGCCGGACCCCCAGTTGAAGTGACAAACAAACATGTACAGACTGGGATGGGATAGAGGGGAGGCTTGGTGCAGTGCTTCCCCAGAGTTTGCTTGCTGCAGTTTCTCTGAATAATACAGGTCCAGAGGGCAAAGGAGTTGTTGAGGGTTTCATGGGGAAACATGTGTTCGGTTGAAGACCGTCTCGAAAAGACAATTTCTGATGCTTCTTAGTGGTCAAAAAAACCTGTCCAAATCAAGGTTCTCGAGTGTGCCAAAAGCATGTTCACAGAGCCTCCTGAACTCTTCCAATTCTGTGATCATTACCACGGTTATTGTTACTACTACTAGTCTTTTGTATTTATTGCTGTTATTGCTAGACGTTAGCCGAGTGAACCTGTGCAACTGCAACATTAAAGCCTGACTGTATGCCGGAGTTCGGGCAGAAACACATCGAACCGAATATGTGGACTCTGAATCTGGCGGACATCCCCCTAAAGTATGATGGTACGACATTTGGGGCATTCATTGTTATGGGGGTGGATAGGGCTGAAAGATTGCAACGCCCGGATCTGCAGTCGAAGATATCGGAATCGACTGGCACAGATTCTCCGATGTGCAATTCTCCTCGCAAGGCAATGTTCTCATGGCCAGTAGACCATCTGTGTGAAGAAGGTTTTTGAGTGCACTGTGCCTTTTCTGGACATCGGTTAGTTGGTGAATCCATAGCAACTCGTTGTGGATCACATCCCTGCCCCGTGGCATCACATTCATGATGCTTCACCGCTTGAGGATGTTCCCATGCGCTGCTTGCCCAATTAACGGTGCCGCGCTGTCAAGGAATCTAACCCTAAACCCTTAGCAAGGACCGAAGATCAAGTGTCTTTGGTTTTGCAATACCTTCCTTGATCTTGTTCTTGAGGCCGGAGGCGCTTTATTTTGCATGGATTGTGCAACAAGAACTGGCCAATCTGTTTAGCATCATTCTAGGTTGCTGTTGAGGAACTTGAATGAAGTTACTATAAGCAGGAAACCCTATTATGTACTACGTATCCATATGATGGTAACACTAGACCCCAAACCCCAAGCCTATATATACCTGTGCTAAGGCAACTTAATTTTAAGTTCCTATCAGCCCAGTACACCCCTAAACCCTCAACCTTAAACCCTAAACCCTAAACCCCTAATCCCTAAATCCCCTTCGCCTTAGCAGCAATCCGGCCTTTTGCATTCCTGACTGACTGCAAAAGGTTTTTGCCTCAGTCGCAGATGGCCTTCAGGCCTGGGCCACTGTCCGTGTATACTCTAAGCTCATATATACCCTAATAATGGAGAATCAAATGGAAAAGAACATGGAAAATGAAATGGAAACTGATATATGTATATAGGGTTATATACGGACTATATGAGCCATGGTCTAAACTCCTTAATTATTAAGGTCATATTGGGGTAATGGAAAAGAAAATGGTCGCTACTATATTATATTGGGGTTATATACAGGAATGATTTGAGCTGTAGTCTAAGCTCCTTAAGGGGGGGTTATATAGGGGAGTATTATAGGGGTTCTTAAGGGGGATACTAGGAGTTTAGACTATAGCTCACATATAACCTTATATAAGCTTGTACAATCCCTATATAATCCAACATAACCCCTGTATAACCACTAGTCCCTATAAACCTATATAACCCAAATTCTCAGAGCTTGCAGCTTAGTTGTTCAGGTGCTGTACAAAGATCGACTGCTTCCAGTCGAAAGGGACCTGTGGGTTGTGTAACGCATTCAAAGCTTTTTGGCGCGGCTGGAGAAGGAAGTGCTTGAACCCTTCCTGTCCATTGTCAGGACTTCAGTTTCAACCACTTCTTCTCACCCGAGTTAACTGATGCGGATTTCTCTGCGCGACCTATGGCTCATGCCTGAGACTGGCAGTCGCATGGCACATGTTTCCTGCCTCCAAGCAGTCTCAGGTTATGCTCACCGGACAGTATTCAACTGGTAAGAGTGGCTTGGCAGCCATTATTCTTTAGCTGATCAATGTTGCTCATGTTGGCCGGAAGCGACCTAAATGCCCAAGCTGTTCATCTTGATTCACGCCGTGTGCGCAATTTGAGGTACGTTCATTCGGCACCTGCTTGGGTCTGCCATGCTTTTTTGACAGTAAATGGCGTTATGTCCAATCATAGGCTCAACACAATGTTGGGGTTATTTTGGGATAATGGAAAATGGAACATAAGATGGAAACTACTATATTATTAAAGGCATTATATAGGGACAATAGAATAGAAAATGGAAACTGCTAGGATGGACATTTGGGACACATTCTCCTTAGACATTTTGTTTGGACTCTTCTTGTTCAACGGTGAAAGCCAGGCGGGACTACCCTGGATTGCGAATTGGCCCAGAGCCAACGACAGACAAGTTCGTCGCAGTATGCAAGGGAGACATGGATCAGGCAAGTGATCTGTGTGTCGGATTTGGCATTGTTTTTGATTTTCCGAAATGAGTGTCAGGTCATTCCGGGGAACGCCTTGGTTGTTGACAAATCTATGCCTTTCACACAGCTGAGTCACTTTGGTTGCGAAGCTGCACCTAAAGATTTTTGGTCTTTGCTTGACCCTTAGCACAAGACTCTGCAAGCCTGCCAACATCAGGCAACAACTTCCTCACACGTTTCGAGTGTGCGAAGCTTGACAGCGCCGTTCTAAACGGCATGTCCCTCATAGACACAGTGCGCCGGCTCAGAAACTGTGCTGATCATAGTGGATAGCTGTGGTGAGACACGCTGTGCTGTTGCTACCTTGCAGCCCGGTGTTCTGTCTGGAGAGAAGCAACGCCTCAAACGCCGGGACCTGAATGAGCATGGATGCAAGTTCGCACGACAAAAGCTTACAAAAACCGTCTAGTGACCGACATTGCCATTTTACCAATTCCTTCTATCCAGGCGGTTATGAATTCGAGGCAGGGCGAGCTGATTTGTGTAGTCAGCTTGGACAGAATTGCAGGATATGTGTCGGCGTCTTGTTTGCATTGCATTTTGCTCGCAGGCATCATGGTTCTAACATGACAGGCCAAACAAATCCTAAAACCAACTAGCCAAGGTTAAGACCTCATGTTGTTGCGTGGACTGTGTCAGCAGACAACCTCACTCACAAAGCATTGCAACATTCGGCTCGGCTGTCTCCTGCGCCGAGATGCAGCAACACCGACTCCTATGACAGCACAGATCGTAACCTATAACCCAATAGTCTTGCAGGACAGGGCTAGGCTGGTCACCTAGCTTGTGCGTCCCTTGTGCAGACGACTGCTCTGTGCCAAGCTCAGCCAGCATCTGTCTGCGTGGTTCTGTTGTTCAATATGCCTGAGAAGCTTTCGAAGATGGCACCTCTTTCGCGCACTTGATATTGGTTTTCTTCTGTTCTCGGCGTGGTCAGCAACTGCTGCCCTGTTTTCTGAGGTGATGACAATGCCCACTGCCCTTGCTTCTTGGAAAATTACGTTTTTCACAAGATGTGAACTAATACATGCTGGGTTGCTGGTCAGGAACTTAAATTAATTAAGCTACTGTAATAAGTAAACCCTATTATTCACTATATTATCATATTATCGTAATTTAGTTTAGTTTAAATTCTTTAACATCAATCTCAATCTAGCCTTTTGTGGTGATCAGGCTGGCACTTCGACGGATCCTTACAGCAGTTGCTGCTGGGTTGTTCCCGATGCTTGCAAGGCGCACTCGGACATGTCCAAACTCCTTGAAGGGGTTATACAGGAGACTATATAGAGAAGCATTATGGGGGTCATTATGGGGGATGCTAGGAGTTTGGCTCCGCCTGCGGCAAGTGCCCGGGTCCCCTTCCATTTGTGCTCCAAGAGCATACGTTGACCAGAGCATCCATGCCCAAACTATAATTGCGTTGTGTTGCCTCCGATGACCAGAGCATGCATGCCCAAACCAGAATTCCGTTCGTGTTCGAAGAGCACACGGTGACCAGAGCATCCATGCCCAAACCATAATTCCGTTCGTGTTCGAAGAGCATACGGTGACCAGAGCATCCATGCCCAAACCATGATAACGTTCGTGTTCCAAGAGCATACGATGACCAGAGCATCCATGCCCAAACTATGATAACGTTGGTGCTCCAAGAGCATACGATGAC